ACCGCGCCCGGCCACAAATGTGTTGTTTTAAACCACTAAGTTTGTTGAAATTTATTACACAACTATAGAAAACTAATATAACCACTCATCTTTTTTATATGGTTGTTTTTAAGTTTGTTCCATACTGGCATCTTAAGTTGTATTTTTTTTAAAACTCAGACATAATTTATTTGCATATCAAACAGGTAGAAATAATCTTCAGTTCTGTAACAAAATTCGTTTCTCTGTTGTTTTTCTATGTTAACTGCTATATTTCCAGGACCTAAAGCACATGGCTCAATATATCTGCAGAAAGAATGAGTGAATTAATAAATTTTCTTGAAAGATGTAGCCATTTTGTTCTAATTTTGTTTGCCTATGTTTTCTAGAACTGTAGGCACATGAAATATTTTACTTTCTTTTCTACTATAAGAAAAACAATAGTGTAAGCACAGTAATGAATAGCAAATGCTTTTTTCAGCCACAGAAATGGAGGTACCACAGGGAAAAGGAGCGATTGTGGTAAACTGGGATACCTGCTATTTGGTTCCAGCTGATGGTTGCTTTGGGTGCTATGGACCTAGTTTTGTCAAATTTCCTGATTTTTCAAATAATAAATTTCCCGATTTTTAAATGCCTCATTAAATTTATTTTGTTGAAACTGCACAAACAAAAAGGAAAAATGTGTGAGACGATTTGGTCCACAGGTCTCTAGTTTTGACCTGTGCAAAATCCCAGGAACTTTGGCACAGACTAAGAGACTGAACTAGAAAAATTGAACAAAATAATCTCAGTGAGGCAGGCAGCTTTCTAAAGACGGTCCCCCAAGATTCTTACTTCCTGGTTATTTAATCAAACACTCATCTAGGTACTGCTGTGAAGGGGATTCGCAGATGTCATTGAAGTCCCAAGTCAGTTGACCTTAAGACATGGAGATTATACAGGTGGGCTTGACCCAATCACATGAGCCCTTTTAAAGCAGAGTTTTCTCTGGTTGGGCTGAAGGGGAGGTCAGAGAGATGGAAAGCATGAGAAGGATTTGATGTGTCATTGCTGGCTTGAAGGTGGAGGGGGCCACATTACAAGGAATACACAA